AGGAGTCGAAGCTATGGACAGGTTGCTCAGAGCAAGTCGAGGCTCACAATAACGGAACAGGGGTCTCTAAGCTGGTGTGGAGCTGATGCGAAGCGCAACGGTATCTGGAACCGTGTTTCGAGCTTGTAAAGTGGTGTTCTGCGAAAAGAACAAGAAGATGGAGAGGCTACATAATCTTCGGTTAGCTTTGGTACGTGTAGGTGATATAAGAGGTGAGGCGGAGAAGCTGAAGAACGGACAGATGGTGGAGAGTTGGACAAAGAGTCCAGCTGTAGGCCAGATGGTGATGGGGGGTCAGCAAATGGAACTTAGTACGTACAGATTAAAAGATGTGACAAGAAAAGCGAAAGGAGAAGAAAAATCAAGAATCAGAACGCAGAGTAGACGAAACAAAAGGGAAAGTGAAATTCACAGTGAAGGCGAAAACAAAGAGAAGCGCAAGCGCATTCAAGCAAAAGATTAATTAGGTACAACGGTGAAAAGGAGGAGGAGAGGATGGGAGATGATGCAGTGTTAGGGACAGCTTTAGACTAGTCCAATCACTAAGGTAAAAGGAAGGTGGAGGGCGGACGGGAAGCCGAGTGGGGAGTACACGGCCCCCGGGAAGCCTTCAGGGAGACTAGGTGCTAAGCTGTAGAGGGTTCGTGAATCAATTACAGTGGCTAGGCAGGGGGTGTTCCGGGTGGCAGGTTGAGGAAAGCTACCTTATGGAGTGGAGGTGCACCCCATCTCCATCTCAAGTGCTATTTGTTAATTAATAAGTTAGGGGGAAGTGATTCAGATCGTGTTTCGGAATTGCAAGATGGTCGGCTCTGTTAGCAGACATATATGCGGATATAATAACTGGCAGTACATAATGTCGAAGAGGCAAACTTGAGGCATGGTATTGCCTCGTTATCAAGCTATTGCTCTCTGGTTATTTGCATAAAACTAAAGGTAAAGAAATGTCCATGGACTATGGAGCAAGAGAGAGGGTTATTGAACGTCAAAAACAGGCTGAAGAAAGTTTTGATGTCATCTCAAGAAATCAATAACCCAAGTTCCAATATAATACAATAACTATTGTCCTCTTGTTTACTTTCTATAAATTTTGACGTATTTTATTTGCCTTGTTTCTAAGCATGGCACTGGGCACTAGTTCAGCCAAGTAAGCCCAGCCCTGCATCTCTATCACGTATTCGACGGTGACTGTCTTCATTCCATGTTTACCGCATGTGGTTAAAGATGTACCTTGGCCACTATTTCAGTTCATGAAGCCTCTTTTTTTATTTCCTGCCGAGACAGACACGATAAAGTCAAGGCCCTTATTACAAGGGGGGGTAGTAGATACTACTATAGTAGAACACAAATTTCAGGGACAGAGAACCTCTCCTTTCCACCATCTTGACAGGGTTATGTCACTACCTATTCAACCCAAGTACACAGGCCGTCGGATACTACAGAGTGTTTTCAAAGCCAAAAGTAAGTATCACAATCCCCTGATTGAGTGATTCTGCTGGATCAGAGTCCAATTAGAACAACAAGTGTGGATTTCCGCTCTTAGTCGTCGTAGTGGCATCTAATAGGTGACACATTCTGTCTGTACGCACTTCACTATGCCGTATGCTTCTTCCTCCCTCTTTTCTTACCTAGGCGCCAAGTTCATGCAGTACGCCTAAATTTAGTCATTGGACAGAGCGTCGTTTAACTGCCAAAGCAGCCAAAGCATGAACGAGTTGTCATCGAAGGTTCTGATTGGATAAAGACCCATGCTTCTTCTTAAGCCAACGTCTTCTCAAATGGTCGTCTTGAACACCATTAGTTCCAGTGGTCTCCAGGTTGGTAGGCTCTATTTTCACCGTCAAAGCCCATTTCATTTTTTCGATTCCGTAAACCCCAAGGCAAGATGTTATAGGGCGGGATAGCTAAGAAAGATCCAAAGCTTTCCTGGAAGCTCTCTGACTTTTGTTCAACCACGCCATCTATCAACTGTTTCAACTGATTGCCAAATTATATCGGGCATCACACTGGGCAACTCTAGTGGCTATTCGAATGCTGCCCAGCGTATCACAGCTCCTGATGCTATATCGATATAGGGTCTTGATTCAGCTGACTTCCTCCATATTTCGCTACTAAAAAAAAGGAGTCATAAGTCACCAACTTGGATTGCAAGGACAGAAAGGGGCCCTCTCTAGGGTATTTCGTCATCATCATCGCCCCCGAAACCAAAGCTGAAACCACCACCTCCTTGCTGCTGTTGTTCATCATCATCTGTTCCACCAACAGCAGCATCCCATTTGCGTTTTTTCCCGCTCTTCTTATCGGCCAGGTCCAGGGCTTTGTACAGAACCTCTGGATAGCTGCTCTTCATTCTCTCCACGAAGAGTCCAAAAGGGTCCGTGACTGTATCATCGAATCCACTGACCTGATCAGCCTTGTCTCGCAAGAAAGAAACAACTTCCGATACAAGGTTTAAGCTCTGTGGCACGAAGTTCTGCGTAAGTGCAATGCCGCTCTCGAGGTTAACCACCAGATGCCACCATCCGCTGGGAACATGAAGAATCTCTCCCGCTTCGCAAATACCCTCAACGCAGTCAGGAAGCTGCCGTGCTTCTTCATGAAAAGTGAGAAGCCACTCAGCAATGCTGAGGGGACTGGTGACTTCGCTGCTGTCATCGGAAACATAAACTCCGGGCACCTGTGTAGCTGGTGGGAACATTATCCAATACTTCGATCCTTGAATTACAGCGTTCCAAGCACTCGTCGCGTTAGGATCTTTGTGGAAGGTTGAGCCACTTCGCTCAGGACCGACAATTAGCCATCGATGGGCAGGGCGTTCGTCTCCAAAAACCTCGAACAGATCAGGGCCAAAGCAGTCTGGTCTCCAGTATGCGCCGTCTGGCTTCTTACCGACACTGATCCCCGTTTTTTCTGCAAATTTGCGGTCAAAGAGATACAGAGGGCTTTCGTCGCTGTTGTTCTTCATGTATGTGTAATAGGTTGCAAATGGCCAGTCAACAGCCTCAGCACGAAACTCGACCTCAGAAAACATCTGGAGCATGCTATCGACAGTCCACTCCTCATATACTGGCCATTCCTGAATGCATTTGGTAAGCACGAATGGCTGCTCAGTCCATTTCTCAGCATACTGATCGTAAGTCAGGTTCTCGAAGCGACGGATCTGGTTTGCCTTGGGAATATGCGAGGTGAACCGGGTAAGGATGACATGACTGCAGGCAAATGGTCGGTGAAGGACATCTGAAAAGACATTGCTGCAGTCAATTTTGGTCCCTTGGTCACCCGGGAAACCTAAAACAGTTGATCTCCACGATCCTTGCCATCGAATATCTTTGCTGTCTTGTGGTGGTGACCTCCACAGAACTTAGTTCAACAGATACCTCAGAATGTCATTATGCCTCAAGTGACTTACTGCAGAAAGACAGGCTTCCAAAATTCATCTGAGTGGCAGAAGGCGTATAAGAACTTGCATGTGTGGCCAAGCTTCAAGAGAGCCTCAGCATCAAACTGCTCCAGTACAAGCGAGATAACCTCGTCTGGGAGAAGTCTCCAACTTCCAATTGAGCGCCTCGCATTGCGACCCGTAAAGAAATACTGGTTGCCTAGTGGTTTGAGCCCCAGTGGATGAGGAGGAATTGAGTCACTTTGGAGAGTTGACTCAGACATATCGTTTGTCCTATCACAGAGTGAATCATGGTGGCCAGTGCCATTGCTTACGATGGCTGAAGGCATTTGAGTGGTGTCGAGTCCGCGGCTGCCTGCTATAGAAAATATGAAAGAGGAAATAACTGAGAGAGAGAAAATCGGAGAAGTCCGCTAAAAGTTGAAACTCATGAGCAAAACAAGACTGAAGTGTATGATACGATAAATCAGGTACCTCCAGGTTGAAATCAGATACAGTGAGTTTTACCTTAGTGTGGGCGGAAGAAAAAATCGGCTGAGGAACGGTTTTCGGTAACAGCCTCACAGGGAAAGATGAGACTACAGTACAGTTACACTGCAGCTTGACTCTTGCTTCAAAGTGAGGCTACGTAGACTTTCCTTGCTCTTAACTTTAGGTGCCTGGTTTTGTTTGACGATTGCTCATCGTATACCTAATGAAACCACTGACTTTATTAAATAAGCTGACTGATTAACGGACGGCTTAACTAACATGGGTTATTCCCTCGTAGAGAACGGGGGGAAACCTTGAAATACACAGTGAAAGATTATATCCCTGAATGTTGATAAAATACTCTCTTCAGTATTGAAATATGATTGTTATTTAGTGTATTTTCGATATGAATACAGTATTTCATGAAAAATGTTTTCACAACAGGAGTGGGGGTGATTTTTGTAGAATCATCTCTTTTCCTTTCCTTGTAAAGGCACCAGGTGGTTATCTTGTGTATATGGGTCATTGAAGTTGAGGTTCGTCTTTCTTCAATTGGGAGAACAATGACATGACACATGCCACACACAGGCTACAAACAGTCACTGGAAACACCAAAAACCAGCGTTGTTGGTGGCGGACGAGGCACGGATATCCGTGGGTGGAGGGGCATATTTTTTTCTTTCAAGGTTCTAGCGAGGGGCGGGGCAGAGTGGGATGGCTGCAGCCTTTGTTATCATAGGTGGTGACCGTGAGGCAAGAAAAAAAAACTTCTGAAGATACTAGAAAAATCAAAGTAGAATTTTTTTTTAATTTTTTTTTTTTTTAAAAAATTCCTCGCCATACTGTACTGTACTGTAAAGGCCTTAGCCTAGACTGGTGACTGTGACTGGTGAGTGCCCTGCCAATGCAAGGCAGAGACACCAAACCAAATGTACCCTAATCCCGATGCCCCGCCAAGGTCTTCTATCATTGGTCAGTGCCTCACTTGAGGTAAGCGGGTGGGCAGCAATGAAAAAAATATACTGCCTCCACGACCGCCCCTCATTCGACTTTTTTTCCTCTTCTCCTTCATACTCCATCCAAAGGAAACAACACAAATAACCATCCCCATCCTAGGTTCTCGTCGATTCTCGTCATTTTAACGAGATTCTTGATCCTAGTCGATACCAGCTTCCTTTCTTCCAAACGACACAAAGGCGCAGTCTTCTCGAGTAGAAGTTCTGCCCTCTTTTTTCGCTTCCGTCACCCCGCGATTTATCAACTCTAGATCGAGCTGTGCTTGATCTAGATTTTCCAAAGCCTCAACCGCAAACATGGCTGACAAGGGTCTTGAGGATGTCCCCGAGGGTGAGTTATCGCGTCCTTCCCGCTGTCATAGGCTTCGCGATGCGCATGGTTCCTCAGCGGCTCATGCGATGAGAGCAAGCTACTCGTATTACCAACAAACAGACATGCTGACCATACATGTCTTGCAGGACAGATCGAGTCCAACTACGATGAGACCGTCGACTCCTTCGATGACATGAACCTCAAGTCTGAGCTCCTCCGAGGTGGTAAGTGTCTCCCGCACCTCAACAAATCCGTCTCTTGCCGCTCACAATAATCCTCAGTCTACGCCTACGGTTTCGAGCGTCCCTCTGCTATCCAGCAGCGTGCTATCATGCCCGTTATCAAGGGTCACGATGTCATTGCTCAAGCCCAGTCCGGTACTGGAAAGACCGCTACCTTCTCCATCTCTGTTCTCCAGAAGATCGACACCAACGTCAAGCAGTGCCAGGCTCTGATCCTTGCCCCTACCCGTGAGCTTGCTCAGCAAATTCAGAAGGTCGTTGTTGCCATTGGAGATTTCATGCAAATTGAGTGCCACGCTTGTATCGGTGGTACCAGTGTCCGTGAGGACATGAAGGCCCTCCAGGACGGTCCTCAGGTTGTTGTCGGTACTCCCGGCCGTGTTCAGGACATGATCCAGCGCCGCTTCCTCAAGACCGACAGCATGAAGATGTTCGTTCTCGATGAGGCCGATGAGATGCTTTCTGTAAGGAAAATCATTCGTGACCATTGACATCAAAATGCTAACCTCACCTTCAGCGTGGTTTCACAGAGCAGATCTACGATATCTTCCAGCTTCTCCCCCAGTCCACCCAGGTTGTCCTCCTCTCTGCTACCATGCCCCAGGACGTACTTGAGGTCACCACCAAGTTCATGCGTGACCCTGTCCGCATCTTGGTTAAGAAGGACGAGCTTACCCTGGAGGGTATCAAGCAGTTCTATATTGCCGTCGAGAAGGAGGAGTGGAAGTTGGACACCCTCTCCGACTTGTACGAGACCGTCACCATCACCCAGGCTGTTATCTTCTGCAACACCCGCAGAAAGGTCGACTGGCTCACCGACAAGCTCACTGCTCGTGATTTCACCGTTTCCGCCATGCACGGTGACATGGACCAGGCTCAGCGTGACCTGATCATGAAGGAGTTCCGTTCCGGTTCTTCTCGTGTCCTGATCGCCACTGATCTCTTGGCCCGTGGTATCGACGTTCAACAGGTTTCCCTGGTCATCAACTATGATCTCCCTGCCAACCGTGAGAACTACATTCACCGAATTGGTCGTGGTGGTCGTTTCGGCCGAAAGGGTGTCGCCATCAACTTTGTCACCGCTGAGGACGTCCGAATGATGCGTGAGATTGAGCAGTTCTACAGCACCCAGATTGAGGAGATGCCCATGAACGTTGCCGACCTCATCTAAGCTCAATCTAAAAAAAAGTGAAAAAAGCAACACGGGTCTTCCAACATCCGTTCCCAGGCTGTCTCATCAGCCATTTACGAGCAGACGACGCAGGGCAGCCTGACATCTTTGGGAGGAGCTTACGGAGAAATCTCTTGTGGCAGTTGTTGATAGATCTCGTTTCTAGAGTACCGCGCTGGAAGGGCGGCAGGCCTTCCCACACGAGCTGCCGCCGGTCCGGAAGGTGACCGCCGGGGAGGAGGTCAGAACTTCGACTTGGCCGCATGACAAAAGGCTTCGGGGGGCAGTCCTTTGCGCCCTTAATACCTTTGGGAGGGTGCATCGGGGGCTACCAAAAGTAATGCAACGGTTTTTCAAACCTGCTTTTTGTCTCTGTTATTTAGGGTGTCGTTATCATGATGAATGCTTTTCTTTTTCTATTTCAAAATTTGTACCAATTTTTGTGTGAATGCAATGGTGTCGAGGTGACTTGGCATGAGATATTTGACTGTTGTCGCCCAACATGATTTGAATTGCGATCCCATATTAACATTTCGCCGCCCATAATTACTACCTATCCATCCACTCTTTGAGTAATAGGTGTCTCTGTATAGCGTTAACCGATGTTAGGAATGCTCGACTCTTTAAAGGGTCACGCCGTTCGATAAATTAGATATCAATGTGACGGTTGAATAAAGCACCTAATCCGATGGCCTGCAAGGCCCTCGTGAACGAAAGTATTGTATGTAGCTCGTTATTCCATCGTCTTCATCATCCTCTGCACATGCTCGATGTACAGCCCATTCCCAAATTACAGTACACTATATACGACTCCTCCTATCTTTGAGGAGAGTAAAACAAAAGAAAAGCCAAAGATAAAAGTGCAGCCGAGTCAAGTCTTGGACCCGCCCTTATAACGCCGTGTGTGGTATCGCCGCCCATGATATATATAAACTCAAACAAGCCGTCGCCTGAAGAACGCGGCTGAAGCTCGCTGAGCCAGAACTAACAAATTAATCAAACCTGCGGTATTTTGTTTTGGAAAACACTGAACACCATCTAGTAGCCCTGGCCAAAGTGAGTCTGTGTAGGAGGTGGGCTCCTGACAGCCTGGCCGGCGTAGGCACCAGGGATAGGGACAGCCTCATAAGTGGGCTCATCAGTGCTCACAGGCCCGTGTTGCGAGACTTGAACAGTGGGGATGGCAGGAGGTGACGTCTCAGTAGGTGTGAAAGCAGATTGGTTCAGCTTGGGAGTAGCAGAAGGGGCCTTCATAGGAGGAGCCTGGAGCTTAAAGCCAGTGTCCTGGGGAGCAAATTGAGACTTGGGTTCAGCAAATTGGGTACCCGGCGTGAAGGTGGTAGGGTTCTCGCTGATGTCGGACAGGTTTCGATAGGCAGCGGGAGGGTGACGAGGAGACATGGCATAGGCACTGAGAGCCGGAGACTTGGGGCCGAAGCCGGGAGTGTTGGGAGCAGACTGGCTGCGGAGCTGGGCGAGGTAGAGATCGGATCGGGCACGGTCTCGCATATCCATGGACTTGAAGAGCCGTCGCTTTGTGTAGTAGCGGTAGAAAACGACGCTGTAGAGGAGGATACAGAGGACCTCGATGACCACCTCGATAATGATACAGATCATGGCCCAGTTCTGAAGACGGCAGACAAGAGCATAGTCGACTTTCTCACCAAAGACTTCAGATCGATGGTTGTTAACACAAGACCAACCCCACATATCCTGGTTGCCGCTGTTGTTTCTTGAGTTTTGGAAGATAACAGCTGTGACAACCCATAGAATCAAGGCAAGAATGAACTGTGTAAAGTTAGTGCTGGCTCAGGCCAAGTTCAAGAGATGTGTGACTTACCCAGCCAATGGCGAACATGGTATAGTAGGTCCCGACTTTCTCGGCACGTCGATGACCACCACGACAGTAGGAGATAAAAACAACGATACAAGCGACCAGAGAGACGCATGCCATGGCAAGAACGAGCTTCTGGGGCCAGGCGCTGGTGTTCTTAGCCCACGAGGGCATCTTGCTCTGATCAGGCAAAGCCTTGGTAGCGTTGAAGATTGTAAAAGAAGCCGAGAGCATGGCAAGGATGATAAGAGAGCAGCTAAAGTTAACACCACGGAGCGCAAACTTGGCCAAGCGGACTCGGGCCTTGATTTTCTGTCAATGTGTCAGTGAGATGTTCGCAGAGTGAGTTGATATGATGAGTTCACATACCACATCGCGCGCTTGCTCCTTGTCAGTTGACGCCTCGCGCTTCTCCAGAATATCTTCCTCTCGAAACGTTGGACTCAAGGGGTTCTTGAGATGAGCAGGCGTGCCTGGCACCTTCATGGCACTCTTGAGTGGTGTCTTGGGAGTCATTGGTACGGGTATGGATTCTCGCTGGCCGATGTAGCCAAACCCAACGTCAGCGGGTTGAGGTTGAGCAATGTGCGACTTCTCGGGGTCGGCAAAGGGGGACCGAGCCTCAACTGGTGAGTGAACTGAAGTTGCCTCGGCAAATCGAGGAGTTCGAGGCTTTAGAGAGCCGTCTGACGATGATGATTCCGAGGTACCAGGTCGTGCTGAAGCGAGGTTGAGTGCGGCAGGCCGCCTCTTATCTTCTAGAGAATTGTCAGTCAGCATTATGAATTATTGATGGTAGTTAGTTTCCTCCCTCAGAGACGAACCTGGGCCAGCCATGTTTATAACAGGTAAATGCGAGAGAGAAGAAAGATATCAACAGCAAGATGTGCAAGTGGAGGTATAAGAGCTTCAACGCAGTCCAAGCTCACAACCGTAATAGAACAGAGCAAATTGCAAAAGAACAGAGAGACCAGCTATCAAAGGATTGAGAGAGAGGTCCGGCCAGGCGGACTCGAGGGGGAAAGGACGAGTTTTGAGGTTGGCGGCAACATAGGGAACCAGGACGCTCATTCGACACGATGAAAACGCCAGCAACGGGACAGGACAGGAGAGAGAGGGGGTGTGCCGAGAATAGTAACGGAAAATGGCCTTACCAGAATGAAGGGCGGATATCAGCAAGACTTGTGATAGGCAGATGCCAACCGCCGTTAAGTGACTCGGTTTGGATTTAGACGCCCAAGTGATTGTAGAGATGGTAGGTCAAACTCCGCTGGCCTGGTTTGGTCACAGGCGAGTAAGCGCTTGGGAATTCTCTGTTGCCCCTGCTGCTGAGGTTCGTGACACTAAGATAAGTATGAACTCTGAGTAGTCTCAGAGAATATAGGACCGCGAGCGGACAAGTCAAGTTAGACAAGAGAGGGGATCACAGGAGAGATTTGGGAAAGCTGCGGTGTTATGTGAAGCGGTACTGTATTGTGCGGACAGGGTATCCGGACCTCCCATGGCCCTCGAGGCACGAACAAGGCAATTGTTCCATTGAAACAACCATATCCGGCTGGAATTGTCCGGGACATCTTCTGCATGGTGCCCGGGCAGGTCCCTCATGTCGATTGCCCATGCTGAGCAATATCACTGGATAGCAGAAGTTGCCCGGCGGTTAAAGGACATGGAGTTGAAGCGTGGATCTTGGATATAGGGCATCCTTGTTGTCCTATTGGCTGGGCCAGACAGCCGCTCTTTGGACCCTGGACGTTGATCTGCCGGCCTGATAGGCTGCTTCCTGCAGGCGGTTCAAATCTTCACCTCTATATGACCAATCAGCACATCGAGAGCGGTGATGAGCCAGATGGCCATCCAGCCACCTGCAGGCTTCGGCGGCAACAAACGAGTTTTGTTTCGATGTGCTGAGATCCATGCTCGAGCTTGGGGTGGCCCACCAAGGATGTTGCATTAAGCATCTGCCAGGTTGACTCGGTCCATCGAAGCTTTATTTCAAGCAAATGCATGCATTTTCCTGTGCACTTACTTTTTTGCCAGGTCTTTATCCATCTTGGCAGCCGAATGAGTGACTTTTCAACTCCAAGACATTGGTTGAGCTAGCAGTTGGTTGCACACGGTATACGGAAAATTGTCCAAGATGCAGCAATGCAGTCATGGTCGCTCATGGCTGTGCTGTAACAGTGAGACACCATGAACGCAACAAGATATATCTCCATTCAAGGTTACATGACAAGGCTTTCTAGGAAAGTCAGTGATAGTTCGGGATACACAAGTTGATAAAGATAGCATCAAGCCCCATGTCATATGCAAGTAACTGTTGAGAGATTTTTGCTATGCAGCAACTGTCATAGAACCCCCTCACCGTCTTGAGAAGTTGAGCATTCTTGACTTGAATATCTGATGACCCAAGGAGGCTGGTGCATTCAACATTATCCCAGGTATCCCCTCATCTTGGCATGCTAACGGCGGCTTATCGATACTGCAAGCTTGAATCCTGGCACGTGATCAATTAGAAACTGTCTGCAACATACCATCTGCTCTTAAGTCAAGACGCATTGTTAACTAAATAATTGTTAGCATCATCATATCCATCATCAGCTCATTGGTTGGAAGCGTATGACAATGATGACAGCTTGGTTTCAGATTTGTTCCTTGAGCTCCAGGACGTACGGTCACAGACCAAGAGCCTGTACATAGGTCGACTGATCAGATAGAAAATGAGGAGGACTTGAGACAAGGTAAGCGTTAGTAGGGATATTCCGAGGCCGTGCATGAGGCGTCTCTCAGGTTGCTAGCTTGTCCTGATACCATAGTATTGTTGTGATGATGGTGTGCTTTACTTCAAGACCTACAACAGACACAAAACAACTCATAGGGTTGATAGTGCGCGTCTTTTATCAGAATTATACGAAAGTTTGAGAAGGAAAATATACGGACCTCACCCATCGACGTCAATCTACGGTTGTAACCCACCTTGGTATCTTAAATAAGACTTCTCATGAAGGTGGGACACTTTTGTCACTTTGGCCGAAGCTCACCCGAGGAGGGGCATTAAATCCTTATCGCTTTATCAGACCCCATCAGGCTTAGCGTAAGAGTCATAGCCATTTCGACTGGCTGCACACGAGGAATTTTGCCATCATCAAGGCGAAATACGCAAAATCTCGGCCCTCGACGACCCGCAACCTGGAGAACCACTCGTGAGACCTTCGAATCTTGGACCGTAATTTTCTTCCGATCCAACCGACCGATTTCCTGACTCGAAACCGCTCTCCCGCTGCTCTACGACCGAAAAACCACATCTGAAATACCGTCCGAACTGCCCCGCCTTCATCATGTCTGCCAACGGCGACCCCAAATACGACGACATCGAGTCCGAATCTGACTCCGGCGAGTCTGTCGGCCACAACGAGGCTGGCGATGAGAAGCCCCTCAAGTCGGCTCTCAAGAAGTCCAACCCAGCTATCGCAGAGCCCGCTGCTCAAAAACCTCCTCTGCCGCCACAAACCGACCCCAAAGATCTCGATGTTGCCAGCCTGACCCCTCTGACGCCCGAGATTATTGCCCGTCAAGCTACTATCAACATTGGCACCATTGGCCATGTAGCCCACGGAAAGTCCACCGTCGTCAAGGCTATCTCGGGTGTCCAGACTGTTCGTTTCAAGAACGAGCTGATCCGAAACATTACCATCAAGTTGGGTTATGCCAACGCCAAGATCTACAAGTGCGACAACCAAGCATGCCCTCGGCCTGGATGCTACCGCAGTTACAAGAGTGAGAAGGAGGTTGATCCTCCTTGTGAGCGAGATGGTTGCGGCGGTACTTACAGGCTATTGCGACACGTCTCGTAAGATGATACTCAAAACTCGTGTACGGAATAATGGCTGATGTTTACAGGTTCGTTGATTGCCCCGGTCACGATATTCTCATGAGCACCATGTTGTCAGGCGCCGCCGTCATGGACGCCGCCCTCCTCCTCATCGCCGGTAACGAATCTTGCCCTCAGCCCCAGACCTCCGAGCACTTGGCTGCTATTGAGATCATGAAGCTCGACAAGATTATCATTCTCCAGAACAAGGTTGATCTTATGCGAGAAGAGGCTGCGCAGCAGCACTACCAATCCATCCTCAAGTTCATCCGAGGAACTGTTGCCGGCAAGTCCCCAGTCATCCCCATCTCTGCCCAGCTCAAGTTCAACATCGATGCCGTCAACGAGGCCATTGTCAACACCATTCCCGTTCCTCCCAGAGACTTCAGCATAGACCCTCACATGATCGTCATTCGATCATTCGACGTCAACAAGCCTGGTTCCGAGATCGATGAACTCAAGGGTGGCGTTGCTGGTGGCTCTATTCTCCACGGTGTCGTCAAGCTTGGTGATGAGATCGAGATCCGACCTGGTATTGTCTCCCGAGACGATAGTGGTGCCCTAAAGTGCACTCCCATTTTCAGTCGAGTCGTCTCGCTTAACTCCGAAGCCAACGACCTCAAGTACGCTGTTCCCGGTGGTCTCATTGGTGTCGGCACCCGAATCGACCCTACTCTGTGCCGAGCCGATCGTCTTGTCGGTTTCGTCTTGGGTCTCAAGGGCCGTCTTCCCGAGATCTACAGCGAGATCGAGGTCAACTTCTACCTTCTCCGCCGCCTGCTCGGTGTGAGGACCGCCGATGGCAAACAAGCCAAGGTTGCTAAGCTCGCTAAGAACGAGGTTATCATGGTTAACATTGGTTCTACCTCTACTGGTGCCAAGGTTGCTGCTATCAAGAACGATGCTGCTAAGCTTGTCCTGACCAGCCCCGCCTGTACCAACATTGGCGAGAAGGTTGCTCTGAGCAGACGTATTGAGAAGCATTGGCGTCTTATTGGTTGGGCTACCATTGCTGCGTAAGTTCCCATATACATGAGTTCCTCCCTGTTACAGAACAATTCGACTGACCTCTTCCACAGTGGTGTGACCCTCGAGCCCAGCACTGCTTAGACTATCCACCTAAATCAACGAACGACTTAAGCAGCTTTTTCGCATGATTTCCCGGCTACATAACACGACGAGCTCAAGAATGCCCAATTTCAGAGGCAAAGCCCCAGAAGGCATTTTGAGTAGACGGATGGCGCTGGAGGGGGCCTGGTGTTTGGTGGTCTTTTACAAGATAGCATGGGGACGGAAGAATAAGGGGAGCAGATGAGAAATGTAGTTATGCTGTAAATGCATCGAGGTTACACCAACCTCACAGGGAGACCCAAAAGTTTTAACCAAACGCTCATAGCACGAAATGAAGAGATTACATAACTAAACCTCCAAGGAGTATATGTAATATCTATTTGCGTGTTTTCCGCGCGTGCTTGACCAAATTTTCTATGACACCTTCGAACGCTTCTCGATCGCCAATCTTTTCGTCCGTTCTTTTCTTCCAATATTCCAATGCTTCCTTGGCCGCTTCCTGCAAACCTTCCAATTTGGCTACATGGGCTTTTAATTCCTCGTCAGTCATACCATCAAGTGCTTCGTCTGTTGTTTGGCACAAATGACGAGCCGCCACGAGGTCCAGCTCAGGTTGTGGTGGAGGCCCGCGGCGCTTTCTCGTCGAGGCTGATGGTTTTCCTTGCGTATCAACCGATGTGGAAGAATTGTTACCTTCGCCTTGCCGTAACCTAGAGACAGATCGGGAATCTGTAGACGTTCTAGGGGACAGTGAGGGGACGTTTAGAGAGGGAAGGACGAGCTTCTTCTGCTTAGAGGCTGGGAGGATCTCATCTAGATCGACGGGAACACCGAGTGACACGAGAAAGAGGCGGCGTGTGCGAGAGCGGATCCAATCAGGGGGCGCGAGAGGAGGTGGCGCTACCAGCTGTGACCATAGAGATGCGGACCTTGCTGTGAAGAACACTGAATCCTTGGAGAGAGGAGGGAATGTGGGAAGATCGAGTTCTTCTGGGGGTATAGAGTGGCGAGGAAAGGTTCCAAGGCAGATACGACTGCTTCTGGATCGAGTCCATCAAAATCGGGTATGGACTACATAATGGTGAGCAAAGAGTAAGGGGCATAACATAGGTATATCTTACGAATGGTAATGTAGATTGCTGCGGAGGCCGTGTGGCAGTAGGCGCTGGTGTCTCTGCTTCTTGGAATCCATCTTCAAAATCATCAAAGTCATCGTCTTCATTACCCTCCTCGAAATCGTCAAAGTCGTCACCAAACCCGTCGTCGGCATTGCCATCGTCATCGTCATCATTATCTTGTTGCGTATCGTCATCATCATCGTCGTCGTCAGCATCTTGCAAAGAAGCAGCTATGGCAAGGGGGTTTTCAGAAGCTCCATCTTCTTGTAATTTCGAGTCTGTAGTATCGGGTGACGGTGTTGAATTATCTACGCGGACAAGTCTCAGTGGTCAATGATCGTTCTTTTGGATTTTAGGACTTTGCTACTCCCGTACCAGAATTGCTGTCAACATGTGCGCTCTCGCCTTGAATCTCCTTGACCTGACCATCAGAATCCACGAGAATGTCCGGAGAAGCATCTGCTTTGCGCCTCTCCTCATATTGAATTGAATGCGATCGGCTTCTAGCCCCAGGAGCCTCCTCTACGATGGTCGTGGGAGCTTTGATTTCGGGAGTAGAGGGAGCATTTTGAGATGCGCCCGTCTCTGGAGCAATCGCAATCTCATCAGGCTGAGCATCTTGCCCCCGCATCTCGTATGCTTCAGTTCCCGGAACCTCGCCGTGTGATGGCTGATCGTCGACCTTCTCGACCCGGGTCTTGGGAATTGGCGAACTAATCTTGGGGCTTCCCGCACCAGATGCAGCATCGGTAAACTGGTCGTCGGATTCGGACTCCTCAGCTACAACATATCAATCAGCAAGGATCGATTGTCCGAAAATGGGTGCCATCATACCAAGTTCGTGAGCTCCAGGGTCCTCAACGGGAGCACCCTTGGGAAGCTCAAGCTTCTCGGCGTCTGTCATGATGACGGGAGTTGGATGGAAATGGTGTTTCGAGATCTAGAACATGCGGTATTGATAGTCGACGTGGGGTTCGAGGAACACAGGGCTAACAGCTGAGCAGGCTTAATGGCTATAACGCGGTATTGGCGGAGCCTGGTGAGGTGAGGCGGTAAGTGTAATACGGCTGCCGTTTCAGGAGGGTTGGCGCACAAAATGACTCTGAGGCTAACAATAGAGTAAGGAGCTTGATTAGACTATGATCGGTACGAAGAAATCAAGAAAAGAGGTCGTTCCCGTCCATCAGTTCGTGAGATCTACCTAGAGCTCAGGTGGGCAAGTATCACGTGGGGCTACCAACACTTACCTCTTTTCTTTAACTCAGTTGCGCGGCTCTTGCTCATCCCATCCCATCCCATACCATCCATCCATTCGTGATCCTTGGCTTTGAGTTATCCCTGCATCAGCTTAGTCTAGAACACGGCATATTCACCGTATTTGGGTCGGAGGGTTCGATTTACGACATGATACTTGGCATATTGCTGCATTAGTATGATAGTGAGACTACATGGAACTTGAAAGGAACGATGCAATAAGTAATTCTCGAGGTTTGTAAACTTTCAATGCTACCTAAGGTACCTATTGTTTGACGAATTTGGGATATCCGTATAGTCCGTAGTAAAGAAAATTGAGATGATCATTTCCAGTTCATCATCAACCTTTGGCACAAGATCTGCACTTTATCTAGAACTGAAGCACAATGCTTACTATTTTCAGCATATTCTTTGGCATTATAAACCATAGTATCGTCTCATTTAGACAATATGCCGGCATCTTACATTCTCCTTTCTATAGTTCTATTTTACAATTAGTGCGTTCTCGATTCAAAATATTACCAATATACTCAATGTGTTTGCACTCAAACATTTAAGCCAAGTCAATGATCACTAAGGAGTTTCGTTAAATTATTATAATGACACACCGCACATAACTTGCGTCTGTGGGTTTCATGTTCTAATGCTTCGCGTTTTAATTCACGCATGATGAATCTTGATATTTGTCTTGATCGAGATCCTTACGACATAACTCAACAAGCACCGTTTATAACGTGAAGTTGGAGCAAAATGAAACGGGTACCGAAATAGCCTAGCACGGACACGGTGCAGCTAACGGTAAATGCTCACCTCAAGACGCGTCTCCACAAAAAAAGCTCCCAAATGCTATGCCGACCAGCCTTCAACACATCCGTTGCCATCAACGACCATAATCTTCCCATTTCGACTTACATAGTCATCATCCCAGATCTTGCTTTCGACTACCGGGAACCTTCGTCTCCGAAGTGTTGATACTTCTTCAAGCTGGATCAAATACTCCGCGACCGATAATTTCCCCGATTCGAGCAAGCTGATCTCGGTCGTCAACCCCCAAGATGTCGTTCAGCTTCGGAAAAGCAACCTCTTCCAGCGCGCCCAACAACACGACGTCGACTGCGCCAGCTTCGGGGGGTCTTTTTGGAGCTGCTACAGGAACTCCTAGCTTCTCTTTCGGCTCGATTGGTGGTTCTGCCAGTAACACCACAACACCGACCAGCAGCGCAACCAATATGTTTGGTCAACAAAGCGGTGCCTCGGCGCAGAAGCCTGCCAGCAATCTCTTCGGCGGCGGCGCAAACACAACCAACACTTCTACCACTCCCTCTTCTGGTGGTATGTTCGGCGCTGGTGGTTCTACAACTCCTGCGACGGGTGGTCTTTTTGGAGGTGCCTCATCCACCACCCCAGCGGCTACTTCAGCACCTTCCAGCGGTGGGTTGTTTGGTAGTGGTACCAGCAATTCAACGGCCCCTGCGTCTGCAGGACTTTTTGGAAACAATGGGAATAATGCAAGCAAGCCAGCCACTGGCCTCTTCGGCGGTGGTGGCTCTTCTGCTCCTGCTAGTAGTGGCGCTGGTCTGTTCGGCCAGAATAATGCCAACCAGACTGCGACAGCTACCCCTTCTTCTGCACCCACAAACCTTTTCGGAAACGCTGCCTCTGGAGCTGCAACTCCTGCTAAACCAACTTTCGCTTTGCCATCTACAACTCCAGCTGGGGCACCACCCGTTGACTCTTCGAAGCCTGCTGGTGGATTATTCGGCAACACAGGTGCGCAAGCATCTACTGGAACCTCAAGCCTATTCGGCGGGGCGAAACCTGCGACCACGTCGGCTCCGTCTGCCCAACCCAGCACGACAGCAGCTGCATCATCTAGCGGCCTCTTCGGGGGTGCGCAGTCCGGAAGCAGCGCTCCCTCCGGAGGTCTTTTTGGAGCGAAGCCGGCGCCAGCCTCTACTCCCGCGGCCGGGGGCCTATTCGGTGCAAAGACTGAAGGGGCTCCGCCTGCTGCCGCTTCGCAAGCCGGAAGCACGGCCCCTTCTAACTCTGCAGCCTCTTTGTTCGGTGCCAAACCTGCAGCCCCAGCGACTACAACTCCAGGCTCGACGCCGGCTAGTGGCCTCTTCGGCGGCGGCGCAACAAGTTCTGCTGCCTCTGGAGCTTCTGCTACAACGACAGCTGGAGGGTTGTTCGGTGCCAAACCTGCAACAAATACAACTTCTACAGCGGCTCCGGCCGCAACTGTAACAAGCGCTGGCAGTCTTTTTGGCGGCGCTCCCAAGCCATCTACCGAATCCTCTACTTCAACGCCGGCCGGTGGTCTGTTCGGAGCACCCGGAACAAGCCAACCGACTGGTTCCGCGGCTGCCATGACTGCAACAACTGGTGCAACAACTACTACTGCCCCTTCGGTTGGCTCAACTCCTGCTGCTGCCAGCAGCCTGTTCGGCGCGAAACCAACCACAGACACCAGCAAGGATGCAGCTAAGTCTGCGGCTTCCAGTGCTACTCCTGGAGCCCTAGGCGCTTCCACGACTGGCCCGACATCCCAGATGGCGCGACTCAAGAACAAAACCATGGAGGATATTGTTACACGTTGGGCATCCGACCTCTCTAAGTACCAAAAGGAATTTAAGGAGCAAGCCACCACTGTGTCGACCTGGGACAGAAGCCTTGTGGATAACGGCGAGAAGATCCAGAAGTTGTACTTGGATACATTCGAGGCTGAACGAGCCAGCCATGAAATCGAGCGACAGCTTGCTGCTGTAGAAAGCCAGCAAGATGAGCTCGAGGCTTGGTTGGACCGATACGAGTCTGAGGTTCAGGATATGTTTGCTAAGCAACTTGGTCCTGGCGAGCAGTTAGCTGGCCCTGACCAGGAACGAGAACGTACATACAAGCTTGCAGAGAAGCTGACGCAACAATTGGACGAAAAGTCACGCGATCTCTCCAAGATGGTCAAGGAAATCAATGACATCTCAGGGACATTGAACAAGGGTGCTAAGCCTGAGGACCCTGTAAGTTACATTCCATTTTTATTCCCCTGGATAAGTTTTGCTAACCCAGTACACAGCTGAGCCAGATCGTTCGGGTCCTGAACGGTCACCTCACACAATTGCAGTGGATTGATGCTAATGCCTCGTCGCTGCAAGCCAAGGTTGCGGCTGCTCAGAAATCCAGCAGCAACCTAGGAAGTCATTATGCTGGTTCTGATAATGATGCGGCAGAGAGCTTCTATCGCTCATACATGGGTCGACGATGAAGAGGGGGCTACAATTATTGGCTTGGAGTTTAAGGCAAGGAATTCAGGCAATTCCGTTTCAGATATGAATACGGAGAGAAGACGTGCAGTAGAGAGTAACAAGGATACGGGCGACATCTGGAAATCCAATGTTGGGGAGTGCAAATGCGTGATTGTTCTTGTACACTAGTTTAGACTATGGAAAAAGACAAGCACTGGACGAAGTGCGATTTCAAGTCAGGTCGAGTTCCCTCAATTGATAACTGTACATCCATATTGATCTTGGCGAGCGGGATTGAACCTCACTCAGAGCTGATGATTTCTCCCCGCAGTCTTTGCCGGGGGTATCCGGTAATCCGAGGTATGAGTTGTTTAGTTCTTCTCGCCGCCCTGCTCACGGGTGATCTCGTCACTGCAGAAGAATTTAAGTTAGATGTATGCTCAACTCAGACGTCTGACAACTGCGCGGATGGTACTTGGGGTAGCCTACATGTGCTTGGAGAGACGATCAAGGTGTTGCTGCTGCTCCTGGAGCTTCTTCTTGAGCTCAATGAGCTTCTCCTTCTCGCGCTGGCGGATAGCATAATCCTCGTTAGCCTTCTCCCGTCGCTGGAAGGCATCACTAGAGAGTGAAAAATGTCAGAATCCTTCTATCGCGATGTCAATTGGACCGCAGGCGGAAAACTCACCCAGAACCACCAGTGGGACGGACTGAACCAGTAGCTCCCTCGGTCATGACGCGAGGAGTGGTAGAGAAGCATCGAACAGGCCGGAAGACGGCTGTCTGGCGGAAGGTTGTGCGAAGCATGCTTGCGTTGAAGTTTGGATTTCTTGTCTTGACTTGCTAGTGACAAAGAATTGGAGATGTGCTTTGTTTTGTAGCCGATGACGTTGGAAGGTTGCTGGTGGAAGAGCCGAGATGATCTGACGACGAGCTTAGGCCAAGGGTTGACTGTTATGGTCGCCTTAGGCCGTTACCTGGCATTGGCAGACAGTGGGCTAGCAAGACCAAGTACTAGATTAACAATCATGGGTGGCTTAGCGGTAAATCCCGGCCAGCTCCGCCTGTAAGCTCGGATCTGGGTCATGACCTTTCCAGCCTACGAGACAACGGAATTGAGACAGCCAGGGGCCAGGATAGGCTCTAGGGTGCCTGGTCAGGCATAACTACCCTGTATTATGTGAACTAGCACTTTGATTTATCGGTATTTGTTGAGTTTATTATAAAGCTCGGAGTTTCCTTGCATTCGATACTTGACCTTCACAATGGATGGCGGATCACATGTACCACAGCTTGGCCCCGGAGGCAATTGCATGACATCAGAGCTCTCTTCAGGTGGGGGTTTGTTAGGTTCCATTCTGCATACACAATAACTGTACCTCAGGAGATACGACACCGAGAGTACGCTGTCTACTACTACGTAGATATCTCATATGATGCTATTTACTCTACAAAGAGTCACTACCCTATAGTATTCCCGGTCAACTTGTTCAGTCCGTTCTGACTTTGAAAGATACCAGGATACTGTCGGGGTAATCGAGGGGAGTTGTATCATGCCATCATTGGATAACGACGTCAGTGAATTAGGTCAACTCAAAGCAACACAATACGCTCAAACCAAGTAGAAACCGGGCAGTTGTGCTCCGCCAATATACATTGCAGTCATTCGTACAGTTCTATGACTTAGTAGACTAATCATCAATGAAATGGGATGCTCAGATTTTATCGGAGTAATAAAGTGCATTTCGTGGATTTACAGAACTGAAACTTTGGTCAGATGCAAGCATCCGAGGCAAGGAATGCTCAGTGTAAGGCAGTCAACCAAGTTAGAGGTGTGATCTCACTCATGAGCCAATATGAGAATGATGAGCCTAACTAGCAACATTGAGATTGCCGTTTCTGTCCCACAACCCAAGTCTCGTGTCGGCACTTGTGTGGCTGTTCCGAGCACACCAACAGCCCGACTGACAAGGCAAAAGAGCAATCAGGTCTGGTCGCATGATGACGATGATGACACTTGACACTATGGACCCCTCATTTCACTTTCTTTTTTGAAAAGTCACCTTTGCTCAACGTGCCCGTTGCTTAGCCGTTGACATGTCTTTCCGCCATAAACGGCTTTTGTCGGGTAGAGACTCAAGGCCAAGATGAATATAGTTCTCAACGTCAAGATATTCAGAATAAGGGATGGGCAGTGCTATGGGACCACCTAAGCTGAAAAGTAAGGCGTGAAGATGTTCGGTAGGTACCTAGGTAGGGCGACAACGCAGTAAGGATACCGAGATCCAAAGACTCGTCACCCATCAATGCGAGGTCTCAATAGAGGGCCATTTTCGTTCGGCAATTTGCAATCGAGACAACCTAATAATGAGATTAAGCATGAATAAGAAGAGTGATTGTCCATTATTTAGTGCCCACCGAAGTTCCAAGGTCCAGCCAGCTTCATTCAATGGATCACCATGGCAGGTGGGTAACAATTGGGTGGGGGCTAATCAAGGTACGTATATGGGGCTGACTGGCACTGGCAGTCACTGCCCAGATGGAGGTGCCTCTTCCTCGATATCTCTCGCGCTTTCGTCACCCCCAACCAATAACTTGACAATAACTCCCCCGTCTAACTCTCAACTCAACTCGTCCCGCAAAACAAAACCACTTCTTTTTTCATCTCTCTTCTCTTTCTCTTGGCCCCATTCGCCATCTGCCAACTCCTTCAACTGAAGCTTCTCTCGGCTGAATTTTGTTTATTCGCTTTTCCTTTAAACAAACCCTCAAACTACAATAAATTCCACGACTCAAGGTACGTATCTACGCTTTTGCCCTGTCCAACTCTGCTGCCTCCTGAACAAGAAGCATCGCCATATCCTGTTACGGCTATCTCGTCTTGTTGTTGTTTGTGTTTGTTGTGCCCTTCCACCACCCCCTCTGTCGTCATTGCCCCCCCCTCCTCAAACCGAAACGAACACGCACCCATTATCCCCCCTTGGGATCTCCGGCCGCCCTCACCACCACGATTAAGCGATAGCCGCCCTGTCTGTACTGTTGACGACACAAAAAATACCTTATATTGAGGCTATCCGTCGTTTGTTACTTTGTGGTGCTCGTTGTCGCTTGTCGCCCGTCTCAGGAGGCCATCGTCTAAGAAACCCCTCCGCCACTGACAGCCCAAGAGCGGGGAGCCTCACCGAGTCGTCGCCGCCGCTCTAGCCACGCACTAGGCGCGCAACTGCCTCTCCCTGTATCGCCTAAAACCATCGACTTATCGCCCCTCGCCCACTTCGAAGCTTCCTTCATCATTCCATTGTCGTCGCTTCCACCAACGCATACACGAGCTTGCGCCGTTCGACTCTACCACTCTCTTTGTGCCTGCCTGTCTCTGCACATACCGCTTCATTTGCTTCGTCTGACAAGCTTGACCACCCCCTTTACTAACTAACCTCAAAACACAGTCGCCAAACATCAACAAAATGGGCCACGAAGACGCTGTCTACCTTGCCAAGCTCGCCGAGCAGGCTGAGCGATATGAGGGTATGTTCCAGGACCCAGCCCAATGTATCAATCGCGCGCTAATATTTGGGGCGCGCGCCCGTTGCAGAGATGGTTGAGAACATGAAGATTGTCGCCGGTGAGGATCGAGATCTCACTGTCGAGGAGCGAAACCTTCTCTCCGTTGCCTACAAGAACGTCATTGGCGCCCGCCGTGCCTCCTGGCGCATAGTCACCTCTATTGAGCAGAAGGAGGAGTCAAAGGGCAACTCTTCTCAGGTTACCCTTATCAAGGAGTACCGACAGAAGATTGAGGCCGAGCTCGCCAAAATCTGCGACGACATTCTCGAGGTTCTCGACCAGCACCTTATTCCCTCCGCTAAGTCTGGCGAGTCCAAGGTCTTCTACCACAAGATGTAGGCGCAAACTCGCAGCATTCAGTCGCATCCTTTTATTGACCAGTCTTGCAGGAAGGGTGACTACCACCGTTACCTCGCCGAGTTCGCTATCGGTGACCGCCGCAAGGATTCTGCCGACAAGTCCCTCGAGGCCTACAAGGCTGCTACTGAGGTTGCTCAGACTGAGCTTCCTCCCACCCACCCTATCCGCCTGGGTCTTGCACTTAACTTTTCCGTCTTCTACTACGAAATCCTCAACGCTCCTGACCAGGCTTGCCACTTGGCCAAGCAGGCATTTGACGACGCTATTGCTGGTACGACCCGTGGACTATTCTTTATTGACCAACGTTATACTGACACGCATTCAACAGAACTCGATACTCTGAGCGAGGAGAGCTACAAGGACTCTACACTGATTATGCAACTGCTCCGTGACAACCTTGTAAGTTTCGAAATTGCTCCCTCTCACGTTTCCGATGACAGCTAACACAGTGACAGACCCTCTGGACCTCCTCTGAGGCCGAGACCTCCGCTGCTGGTCAGGCCGAGGCTCCTAAGGAGGACGCACCTGCGGCCGCCACTGAGGAGCCAGCTGCCCCGGCTGAGGAGCCTAAGGCCGAGTAAGGTGTCGACTAGTGATTTGTCTATGCAGGTGTCAGGTGGACTGGTGTCTACGGAGTGTGGACGGAAGACCTCGTTTTTGATCAAGAGCTTCGGCATCGTTTCAGTACACAGACAATGGCCATGGAAGGGCTGACTTTTTCACCAACGGGCTGGCAAGGAGAGTCTACAACAGAGCACTTTTACGTTCTGCTTTTAGACTGTTAATGCGTTGGCCGTCTGGACAATAAAAATACTAAAATTACTTTCAATACACGAAATATATGACTAGTGATGACGCAGTTGGAGAGGCTGAATTGGGCCCTTGGCATACGAACAACAACACTAGGTTGTGGTGCCAGGTATCTTGCTTGAATGTTGGTGGATTCTTAAGTCGTTAATCCCGGCACAGTTCGTACCCTTGTCAAGATATGTACGGTTAAGAATACTTTGTCATAGTTGGTCCAACCAGGAATCTGATTATGGGGAAGCCATCAGGTCAACTCTTATCTTTCGAAGTTTTATTTGAAGGATGTGATTCTTGTTCGTCCTCCATAACGGCAAAGTGAACTCGAAGCCACAAACTACAGTCGAGACAGCCAACCACAAGCTCCCCCTCATCACTCACTTCTTCCAGGTCTGCTTCGCGAAACTCATAGCTGTGCTCATTCCCACAGCGACACGGGCGGTACCAGCATTCCTGATCCTCATCAAACGCCAGATCATCTAGATCAACATTTTCCACGCCTGTCTGAAAAGCGCCATCTCTCTTCTCGCTCGGGCGAGACACCCGCAGAGCGGCATCGTAAGCTGCCCGGCAAGAAGGGTCGGAAAGGATGCTGAGAGCAGTTGTGATTTGGTCGACTGTGAAACAAATAGTGGATGGATCTGAGTTTGCGAGTTTGTCCGGGTGGTTACGGAGGAGGGCCCGGTGATAGGCGCGCTTTATGAGGGGTGTAGAATCATGTTGTGTGTCGAGTAGCGTGGGTGTGAGGTTGAGGACTTGGTAATGCGTTGCCACTTCTGATGAGGCAATTACAGCCTGTGGCGAGGCCATGCTATGGGATTGAGTTATGTAGATGTGCGTTTATGAAGTGAATTCTGGACAACCAAAAAGTTGAAGGCTTCAATATTCGATATCACGTGATACGCATATAACCAGATGATGGATAGAGATATTGCGAAATGGCAGACATCTAGGTTGCGTGGAGAAATGAGAGCCATATCAGTGTTAGTTGCTGTAGAAGATAGGGAATTCATGTCTCAAAACTTTCAGACCCAATGGCAGTTGGATGGTTTGATTTTTACGAACAGGAGGCTGGATCTTGAAAGCAGAATCGTTCTTCGACAAGACGGTTGCTGATATTGTTGTACATAGAAATACATGGTGAATGTACAGGGCGCGCCAAAGTAGCCATTCCATCTCTCGTCTTCTTGTTTATTTGGGGAACTTGGTCCAACCATATTTGCCCACCTGTCAGTGTAGTTAGCAAGACATGCTCCGTTAGACGATCATGGCAGTAAATCTTTGATCTTACCCTCTTCCAGCGCTTGATAAGACTGGGCATATCCAACATGGCTTTTCTTCTCGTCTCCATCCTGTAGTATAGTTAGTCATTGTTGTTCTATGCTCATCATAGCACATAGCCAGTCTGTGGTCGCCGTGATGAGACCGTCTACGTACTTTGCAATCATATGTCGTTCGTGGATATGACCCTTGACCTTCTGTCCCACACCAGTACCCTTGACTCTCAAACCATGCTCAACCCGATGAGCTAGCTGGTACTCAGTGCCCTTTCGTGTTTCTGGGAGCAGATCCTCGACGCCGTTCTCACGGGCCATCTTGACCAGCTCAGCCTGGCGACGCTGCGAGTAGACAGGGTCCTGCCATTTCCCTGTCACGGGGTGCTTGTAGAAGCGAAAAGGGTTCGGCCTGTCCTCCTGGTATCGGGTCTTTGGGGCGTTTTCGGGGAGGATGGCGGCGGGAGGATAGCGGGCGAAGAAGCGCTGCAAGGGCGCGGGCAGCGACTTCGCAAGCCCGATGAACTGTGATGTTGATGCCATGATGATCTGCTATGATCTGCCGTGCTGGAGGGCGATCAGTTGCATGCCCTAGAGATAGAAAGAACGATCACCAATTTGAAGCTCTCCAATCTTCAAGGCTACCTTGCGCTCCCCCAAGTTTTCAGATAGACCCACGGCTCGCCCATGCAGGTGGGCCCATTGTTGCATCTCAGCCAATGATTGGTCATATCACCTGCAGCTTAAATCCACACTGCTTCAGCCTTGTCAACTCTATCATTCAACAACAAATCATCAGTCATCACTTCTATTTGTGGCAGACGACTGCCTAATAGAAATCTTGTAATAGCCTCTTGCTGTCTTGTTTCCTTTCTTCCATCACACAAAAATGCCTCTCGATATCGAAGAAATATTACGGCAAAAGAAGGCTGCAGATGCCGCCGCCGCAAAGCCTAGGTTCATCCCCAAGGCCGAACGAGAGCGACTAGCAGCAGAAAAGGCAAAGAAGGAGGAAGACGAGCAGAAGCGCAAGGCTTTCGAAGACGCCCAGAAACGGCGAGAAGAAGAGCAAAAATGGGCCGCCAGATCAAACGGCTCATCAAGGCACAATGATGCCACGAATGGATCATCGCGCGTACCGACGGGCCCCAAGGCTATGAATCAGGAGAATGGCCGTGATCGAGATGGATATCGAGACCAAGGGCGAGGGAGAGGGAGGGGAAGAGATAATCGAAAGGGAGATAAACAGGCTGCGGATAAGCAGTCTGCAGAGGATATTGAGGCCACTCTCCTCCGATCACGATACCTGGGCCCCCAAGTAAACCAACAGTCCAACTTTTCAGCGAAGAAGAAACGAATGCGAACAACGGAGAAAAAGTTTAATTTCGAGTGGGACGCTGATGAAGATACCTCACGCGACAACGATCCCTTATATACTCGACAGGCCGTCAACCATAATGGATCCTTCGCCGGTGTTGGTGGAGAGTTCGACGACGAAGCCGAGGAGCGAGCTCGCAAACGAGCTCGAATGATAGAGCAGAGAGATCCAGAAAATGGAAAAGAGAGAGCAAAGGGTATCATGGAAGACTTCTTCCGAGCACGCGACAAAGCAAGACAACGAGCTGATCGAACAGGACTTGGCAAGCGATGGTCTGAGAAGACTTTGGAAGACATGCGCGAGCGGGATTGGCGCATTTTCAAAGAAGACTTTGGAATCGCTACAAAGGGCGGCATGATTCCCAACCCCATGCGCAGCTGGCAAGAATCGAATCTGCCCCAGCGCTTACTCAACATTGTCGAGGACGTTGGCTACAAGGAGCCGACGCCCATTCAACGAGCTGCAATTCCTATCGCGCTGCAAGCCCGCGATCTCATTGGTGTAGCTGTCACTGGTTCCGGAAAGACAGCTGCTTTCCTGCTACCACTGTTGGTATATATCTCTGATTTACCGCCTCTTGACGAGTTAAATAAGAATGACGGCCCCTACGCCCTCATCATGGCCCCGACTCGAGAGCTGGTGCAGCAGATTGAGTCTGAAGCCAGGAAGTTCGCTGGCCCTCTCGGCTTTCGCGTTGTGAGCATTGTCGGTGGTCACTCTATCGAGGAACAAATATACAACATGCGCGATGGTGCTGAGATCATTGTTGCTACACCGGGTCGTCTTATCGACTGTCTCGATCGACGAGTGCTCGTCCTAGCACAATGTTGCTATGTCATCATGGATGAAGCAGATCGTATGATTGATATGGGTTTTGAAGAACCTGTTAACAGGATTCTCGAAGCACTACCAGTCAACAACGAGAAGCCGGACACGGAGGATGCCGAAGACGCAACAAAGATGAAGCGTTACTTGGGTGGAAACGATCGTTACAGACAGACTATGATGTATACAGCAACTATGCCGCCCCAGGTAGAAAAGATTGCGAAGAAGTACCTTCGCCGTCCAGCCATCGTCACCATTGGTAATGCAGGCGAAGCCGTTGACACTGTCGAGCAGCGCGTCGAGTTCATTCCAGGCGAGGACCGTCGCAAGAAGCGTCTGCAGGAAATACTTGCATCGAATGACTTTGCGCCACCCATCATTGTCTTTGTCAACATCAAGCGCAACTGTGATGCTGTCGCCCGCGATATCAAGCAGATGGGTTGGACCGTTGCCACACTCCATGGTTCCAAGACTCAGGAACAACGAGAAGCTTCTCTCCAGTCAGTGCGCAACGGCACGACACAGGTTCTCGTCGCAACTGATCTTGCTGGCCGTGGTATCGATGTTCCCGATGTCTCCCTCGTCGTCAACTTCAATATGGCCCCTAAAATCGATAGCTACACCCATCGTATCGGCCGAACAGGTCGTGCTGGCAAGAGTGGTGTTGCCATTACGTTTCTGGGTCCTGAGGACGCTGATACCATGTACGATCTCAAGCAAATCCTCAGCAAGAGCTCTATCTCCAAGGTACCAGAAGAGTTGAAGAGACATGAGGCTGCCCAGTCAAAACCAGTACGTGGTGATGGCGGAGGATCAAGGAAAGATAAGGAAGAAGGGCTTGGGAAGGGAGGCTGGTAGAGACAGATCTGGAAAATGATTTAGGCGAAATAAAATCATTGAAATGGAAAATTAAATTGGTCCCATCAACTACAAGAAAGAAAGCCAGAGTGAACCCATTTATAAACATCACTTCCACATCTCCCTTGAATTCTTTTCTACATCTAAAGCACACACACTTTGCAAAGAGCATACTCTTTCACAAGTCTTCCTTTTATCTTATCTACTCTAGCTTCAGCTGCTCAAACTGCTTGATAGTCTCCTCAAAGCTGTTAAGCTCTTGCTTAGCATCTGCCAATCTCTTCTCGTCTGTCTCGCGGACGGCATCTGAGACCTTCTCGAGGTAGCCAGGGTCCTTGAGAATCTTTTCCTGTTTTTGGATGCTGCCCTTGGCCTTGTCAAGCTTCTTCTGCGCCTTGGCGATCTCAGCATCGAGGTCAACGCGGCCCTTGACGTGAAGGAAAACGGAGGCCTCAGTCGAGACAGGATAGGCGACGCACCCGGCGGGTCTAGTAGCATCGGGGTTGAGGATCTCAACTCCCTTGATACCCTTACCGCTCAAGGTCTTGATAGAAGAGGCCTGCTCCTTAACGGTAGTGAGAGCAGTATCGTTGTAAGCCTGGATAATAACTATGAATGAGTCAGTAAAAAGCCCCTACGGATCACAGGGTTATGGCACTTACCCTCAGCCTCGTCCTTGAGGGCGTACTCAGCCATTAATGAGCGAGCAGCCTTGGAGCAGCCTAGAACAAGCTCGTAAGCGCGCTCAGACTCGGGGTCATCAAGCTTCTGGTGGTAGACGGGGTACTTTGCGACCATAATAGACTTAGTCTGATCCTCAGGTCGTCGGGGCATTCGTTGCCACATCTCCTCAGTAATGAAGGGCATAAAAGGATGGATCATAGTGAGAGCGGCCTCGAGAGCAGTGTAGAGAGTCTGGATAGCAGACTCACGCTCCTTTGGAGTACCGTCACGGATGATGGCCTTTGAGTTCTCGATGTAGACATCGCAGAGCTCGTTGTACCAGTAGCGGTAGACGATCAATGTTGACTTGGAGAACTCGCGATCCTCAAGAGCACGGTTGATCTCTTTGGCCGCAGTGTTCATCTTGTGAAGAATCCACCGCTCGGCAAGAGTTTCGCCACGGACAACTCCTGACGTCGAGGGAGTGAAATCCTTGGGGAGACTGCCCAGAACGTACTTGGTAGCCTGGAAGATCTTGTTACAGAACTTGCGGTATCCGTGGATAATCTTGACATCCAAGTTGATATCACCACCACCGGTTGTGGCGTTGATCATGGTGAATCGCAGAGCATCAGCACCACACTGAGGGATACCTTCAGGGAAGGCAGTCTTCTGATACTTGGTGGCCTTTGTGACCTCGCTGGGGTGTAGGTTACCTTGCAGAAGCTTGTCGTGGAGAGACTGCAGCTGGATACCGGAGATGACATCCAGGGGGTCAACGACGTTACCCAGACTCTTACTCATCTTGCGGCCCTCAGAGTCTCGAACAAGACTGTGGCAGTAGACCTCCTTGAACGGAATATCGCCCGTCATCTTGAGACCGAGCATGATCATTCTGGCAATCCAGAAGAAGAGAATATCCCAACCTGTCTCGAGGACTTCTGTAGGGTAGAGAGTTTGGAGGTCATGTGTCTTGTTGGGCCAGCCAAGGGTGCTGAAGGGCCAGAGTCCAGAAGAGAACCATGTGTCGAGAACATCCTCGTCTTGCTCAAGTGTATATGTCTTGCCAGGGAGTGCAGCCTTGGCTTTCTCCTCAGCCTCCTCCCGTGTTCGGCCGGCAAACCACAGCTTCTCCTCAGGGATATCTCCGGCACCGCCCTCGATCTTAGCGTAGTAGACGGGACATCGGTGACCCCACCAGAGCTGCCGACTGATGCACCAGTCGTTAATGTCCTCGAGCCATCGGAAGTAGCTCTTCTCAGCAGTCTCTGGTCGGATCTTGATGCGCCCGTCTCGAACAACAGCCAAGGCAGGCTCAGCAAGTTCCTTCATGCGGACCCACCATTGGGGTTTCAGAAGAGGCTCAATGATATCCTTGGACTTTTCGCACAGAGGGACCTTCATGGCGTTGTCCTTCTTGTCCACATATAGACCCTTGGCCTTGAGATCATCCTGGATAGTGTAACGGACATCGAATCGCTTCTGACCCTTGTAAGCACCGGTGTTCTCGTTCATAAGGCCATCGTCGGTCAAGATGTTGATAAACTCAAGGCCGTGCTTCTGACCGAGAGTGAAATCGTTAGGGTCGTGGGCTGGAGTAAGCTTGACGGCACCGGTACCGAATTCCATGTCGACATACTCGTCGGCGATAATGGGTAGCTTGCGGCCCTCGATAAAGGGGTGGATGGCAGTCTTTCCGATAAGGTGCTTATACCTCTCGTCCTTGGGGTGGACAGCAATACCGGTATCACCAAGCATAGTCTCGATACGGGTGGTGGCGACCTCGACAAGCTCGTCGGAACCTTGAATGGGGTACTTGAAGTGGACGATGACGCCAAACTCGACCTTCTTATCGTATCCAGGGACTTCGAGCAGGGTACGGCCAGTCAACTCCTTGTTGACGACTTCGAGGTTGGAAAGTGCAGTGTTGAGCTTGGTACACCAGTTGACAAGTCGGTTTGCTCGGTAAATAGTGCCCTCTTCGTGGAGCTTGACCCAAGTCTCAGTAACGGCGGCAGACAAGTTCTTGTCCATGGTGAAAGCTGGTCTCTATTAGCAATTTCCCGACTCCAATAAGTCCGGGGCTGACGTACCCTCTCTGCTCCAGTCAAAAGATGATCCCAGACTGGTCAGGGCCTTGTTGATGCGTTTGTGGTATTCATCCTTCCACTTCCAGACAGTGTTAACGAATTCCTCACGGCCGAGGTCATGTCTTGTCTTGCCCTCCTTTCTCCAAAGCATGTTCTCAACAACGCTCTGCGTAGAGATACCAGCGTGGTCGCATCCGGGCAACCACAGAGTAGTTTTGCCTTGCATACGGTTCCATCTAATCAGGAGATCCTGAAGGGAGTCACCAAGAGCGTGTCCCATGTGCAGAGCACCAGTAACATTGGGGGGAGGGTGAACAATGACGAACTTGCCCTCGTCCTTGATGCTTCCATCTGGCTTGAACTCGGGCTTGAAGAAACCCTCCTTCTCCCACCAGCTATACCATGCAGACTCGACGGCAATAGGGTTGTAGGCCTTGAAATGGGGGTCTTCAAATGATCGAATTCGCTTCTTCTCGCCTTCGGGGGTGTCTTCGGCATATTCGGGGAGAGGCTCCTCCTCGACCTTCTTTTCCTTAGGCTTCTTTTCTTTGGCAGCTTTGGGAGCGGTGGCAGCAGCCTTTTGCTTCTTTGCCTCGAACTTGGCCTGTTTCTCGGCCTTTTTTCGTTCTTTTTCCACTGCGGAACTATGTCAGGGGATGCATTGAATCGTATCAATGGACTGCGTAGTACATACACTCCTTCTCAGTCTTCACCTTGGGCGCACCGGCGGCGGCAGCTGCGCCGGCATCCTGACCTGTAGCATGTGCGCTGGTAGCAGACTCAACGATCTCCTTCTTCTCCGCGGCGGGAACGGCTGGAGGGGTGCTGGTAGCGTCCTGAATGCCCTCGCTGGCGGCGACTATGATGTTATGATTAGTATTACATTATGTATCTGGCGGGCTGTGACAAACTTGGGTTTCCTCGGCCACTGTTGGTCGCCATATTTACTCGCGTGGTTGTTAAGGGTCGGCTTGCTCTTGGGGAAACAGATCGCACCCTCAGTGCTCGAACCGCGAGTCTAAACGTCGTGCCGGAGATGACTGAATGAAGCCCGTAGATTTAGGGCTTCAAGCAATAACCTGCACCTCGAATTGATATAGGTAGATGTTGTGTGACTCTTACCAACTACAGCACTGTAATTTCGAAGATTGAGTCACCCGCTTCTGATGGTGGGGGATAACTTTTAGTTCATGGAGGGGTACAGAAAGAGCCTGGAAAGTGTGGCGTAGCAGCATTAACATTGATATAATTCAGAAATACCCTATCAGACCACATAGAAGTATTGGAATAATGTAAACGCGGCGCATATGACTCATGAATTGATTGATAAGTGTTGATCATCATAACATACTGATCGTTATCCTGATGACTCCCTTCTTACACCAACGATATCGGACCACCATGTTTCAGTTGACTTTACAGAATGTGGCGCAGCAGTTCACCAGCCACAAGAGCTCACCCCGACGATGTGAAGTGCCTGAGCTGGATGTCGTCTTAGACTAGGTACCTCCCTATGCAATGAGTTGAGAAGAAGCTACTTCAAAGGACATTCTGAAAACGTCTACTACAACCTGGAATATTTGGTGTAACCAGTATTCGACTTCCGTCCCAATGGCCTTGCGGCTCGCATTGAGAGCTCATGTGAGCCGTCTTTGCAGTCGCACTTCGACCACAATTAGGAGGGCATACTCAACAAGTAAACAATCAGATTACTTTACTGTTGAGCTGAGTCCGAAGATCAAAGTAAGGTTTGTAATGAAGAGAATTATCGACTTTGCTAACCCTTCAAGGATCCCTCAAAACTACTACAAACCGTCAGATCTCAGATCAACATCACCAATCCTAGCCGTCATGATGCAGCAGTTATACTCGCAACTCCACAGTATGCGCAATGGCTAGGCAGGGGTGAATTCATGTCTGAGTTTGCAGACATGCTATCAGGTTCTAATGAGACCGGCGAGTTCCATACTCTGGGCGCTGTTGTTGACCACATTGCCCCGCCTGTGCCGAACAACAAGCCCATTCAGGGGTTATCTATCCTCCGTGGTAACCTCGATGCTATCCTACCAGGACTATGGACAGAAGCGCCCCCAAAGGAATGGTCGGATGGCGGGAAGGTGTCAGCTCTAACAATGAACCTTGGCAGCCCGCATATTACTATCCCTCTTACCAACACCACTTTTCAGAACCACAGAACCTCGACGCTTATCATTAGCCGTTACGACTTGTCAACCGGCTCTCCAAAACTTGTTGAGCAAACTGATAAAAAGCATTTGCAGAAAGTAACCATCCCTCTTCAGAAAAGGCTCTCGTCAATCAACGACCTTGGTATCTGGGCTCCCCTCGTGCCTTTGACTCAACCCCGTGTGGTAACTGAGAGCTTTGGTAATATTGTACGGCGAGTCGACATTGAAGACGAATCAGTTCCGGCTTCAAATGAGCTCGAGCCAGCAGTGGATGAGCTCCATGCCAGCAAATCGAACTTAGTTCAGTCTCCTATGGGTATTTGGGCAATGATCACACCTCCGACTTTTGTTCAGTCAGGGGGCAGCTCGCCCTATGTCAATCCGAATCCCGAGGCAACATTTGCTGATGGCCAAAGCATTACGGACCTAACAGCTTTAACATCTGATCAATTGGGTACCCTGTATAGGCAAGGGGGTCGACTATATCAAGTTTGTATGCAAACCCCACAGTCCCTGTGTCTGCTTTCATCCGCTAACAGTTCGCAGTGAGTGGTGGCGGCGGTTGGGGGGCAAAGAAGGGTTTGCTGTCGCTTGACCCCGAGCAAACTCACTTCGTTGTATCTGAAGAAGAAGAGATGCAAAGGTTCATCCAGGCTATGGAAGGGGGCAACTTTGTCCCTGTGAGTTCCAAAATCCAATTCTTTGCATCAACAGATTCTTCTGCTGGCGAGCCAGTCGGAAATAAACAACCTGGAGTGGTGTTTGGAACATCCAGCAAGGCCGAGATTGAAACTGATGCGAATACATCTCAACCTGAGGCACGATTGTTGGAGAATCACTTCGGCGCTCTCTCTAACGTAGGTATCTTTGTAACTTCATCTGATGCTTCCATGTTTTCGAAACCTGGGTTCAACAACGATTGGAAACTCAACGTACCTAACTCTCGAATCTACGTTGTATAGGCTAGCGCCGAGTTGATGGTCTTCACTAGCGGTTGTTGAATGTATTATAAGAATGTATAAATACCCCTCCGAATAACTAGAGATGACGCTATACAATATGTATGATGTTCTCCCTGTCTTTATTTATTGTGGCCTTTGCTTCTTGTGCAATCCTTCTGCTGCCGCTGCCGCGACATCATCCAGTGTCGTTCCCCTCTTCCTCTTACCCATCTTCTCGTTTCCAAGCACTTCATTCTCGGCAATATCCTTATAGACACTCGCGGCACCCATGAACATCCCTTTATCCCAGCCCGCTTCCTCATTGAAAGTGAGAGCAATCTCCTCCATCTCTCGCACCCAGCGATACGCCTTAGGTGGCATGCCGGGAACGCTCTTTTCAGCGTTGGCAAGCATCGCTGGGTAAAATGTACCAATCTCGTCTTTGAGAGCGCCTAAGATGCCAAGATTATGTGCTGTTGTGAACGACTGAGTGGCAATGGCGGTGAAACCTTTTGACAGGGAAGCAAAGCACATTTTTAGACCACTTGCAGCGCCGATATCAGGAGAGATGTGCTTCATGTTGAGAACAGATATCAACTTCATTCCAAAAGGGAGCGACTTGAAACCATCTGAGCCTGATATAGGGATGCTAGGACGGTACCAGTCGGAAGAGTCGTTGCTGCTCAGTGAATCTGTTGCGGCATCGGCAGACGTCTTCTTGGGAGGATGCCCAAGAATGCTTCCGTCGACAAATTGTATAGGCAGGTTTGATCTCTTAACGGATGCTGCAATGGCCTTGACGGTCGAAGGCGCAACTGCATTGAGGTCGACAAAGTAAAGTTCTTTCGTAGTCTCTAAGCCTGCTAATGCATCTGTAATACGAGTGGCTGTTGCCTCTGCGTCTCTAGGCGGTACAATGGAGAGTATGACAGAACTCTGCCTGACCAGATCAACATCAGACTCAAGGAGTTCAACTTTTGCATCTCGAGCTCGTTGGATGGTATCTTTGCTAGAGGAACCGTAAGCGGACCTCTCATTCTCCTTGCGTGACTGAGCAGTTACCTTCTGCCGGAGATATTGGTTGCAACAGTGAAACCACTGGCAACCAGTAGTTTTGCAATGCCGACGCCCATATCGCCAATGGACAATAGTCCAATTTTGGGTAGAGGTTTCAAGATAGCAGACATCTTATAAGCTTGCTTGAGGTAAATACGTGATGGAGATGGATTAACGCGGGGAACTAGGGTAGGTGAGTTACTGGAAGCAGTACTTCTTCTCTACAGAGTAGAACCCAATGCTTATCGCTTAAGACTTAGAAACTAGGATAACTATATTCGGCATCGGCCTGAAGGCATACGAGACCTAACATACTGGATTTTCGACATCTGAGCTGCTCATCTGTCATGGTCTGGACGTCAAAGCAACTTCAAGTTATGGAACCCCGATTCAAATGATCATGAGTTCTTACCACTCTGTGGATTCATACTACGTTACAGAAGATCTTGATCTGAATGTCATCGTACCAGTTGTCCAATTGCTTCTTATTCCGGTGCTGAAGTCCGTTTCCGCAACTAAAGAGTCCCAATGGCAACACTCCAGTACGTGATAAATGACAACCTCAAAGAACTGGGGGCCTATTCTTAGTGGGGGGGGGGGCATCCACACCATGGCCTTTTGGTGCATACATAGGAAAAACTGCCCTCCAAGTAGCTTGTCCTTGTGGTAATGAAGACCTTGTCAAGAGTTTCACTAGAGGAGTGGATGCCAATGCCGGACCGGTGGCAGACTATGGCGCAACGCCAACTTATTTCATCATTAAAGGGGCGGATGGTCTGGAGGAGAGTTATCAAGATGCTGCGAGATTTGCTGAGGCTGAATCGAGGCTTGAGATCGCCTGGTTATTACGTGAATTTAGAAAAGTGTAGAAGTTGGAAGAGAGGTGGGTGCGGGGCTTTCAATGAATGATACAGTGCCTTTGCTGTGCGTGGTACTTGTCACAATAAGGTTCTTTCATAGGTATCGATCGATCAACTGAGGGATGAATTACAGTTTAAAGTGACAGTCAGTAGTAGTGGCTATCCCCGCCGTTATCTCCAACTGGCGCTATTACATAGTACATAGTCCACTCTATGCGCATCCTGGATATCCATACATATAGTAGCTCAGCAAATTAGCGAATGTGAACAACTGAATGTTTATATACTCACGACGGTTTTCAAAATCACCAGCTACGTGAAAATGGTCTCGAATGACATGATAACCAAAGAATCAGGAGCTCAAAGTGAACCGAGGCCTCTGCAGCGATAAGTCGTTTCTGGTGGTGAGGTCGACGTCACTCTTCAAGGATCCCACCCTGTTTCTTGTGTCGCGGGGAACCATTCATGACCTGATTCGATTCGCCTCTGAAGACATAAAGCACATGATGACGAACCTTTGACAGACAGTGGAGGCTATAGAATGTCGCTGAAGATATGATTGAAGTGTAATCCGTAATTCAAACTATTCATTATCAACCTAAACCCAACGAGTTTACCGATCACATCCATCCCATTGATTACATCAACTAACAGCCCATCATGTTTTCTTCTCCTCAACGTCAACATGATACGACATCAGCATCCTCATCTAAAACCACCAGATCATCACAAGACAAACATAACGACAACAAAACAGAGCCTATTTCAACTTCAGCCCCTCGACAGCCAGACGAAATCGAAGAAGCGGATACGACAGTACCGGTAAAGACGTATCAACCAAAGCAGAAGCAGAAAAGAGTTGAATCATCATCCGACAAAGACACCAACGATGCCGAGAGTGTATATCTATCATCCGACGAAGACACATCAGATGAAGACTCCTCAGACTATGATTCAGACTCAGAAGGTAGCGTGGAAGAGCTGCCTCCCCGGCAACTATCGAGGAGAGCAACAGATCGAGGTGTAAAAACAACTCCTGGGTCTCCATTCACAATCACCCAAACACGAAGCGAGACTACTCGCTGGATATCAACACAGGACAACGGAGGCATGATGCATGGAGCCAGAACTGTCAATCAGCAGACAACATTACATGGACACAACGTCAGTGGGGCACAGCGAAGACCGAGCAATAGGAACAGCATCAGCTTCAATATGAGCGTCAACGTTGACATGTCCTTCAACGGCCTTGTCACAGGCCGAAACCTGGGCTTCACAGGGGTAGGCATTCTGCCACGAGTTTCTTTTTGTTGGATATCAATCGAAAGGTTGCTAACGCGTGCAGGGATCACTATCATATGCATGGAACCGGCGTAATACACAAGGGGGTTAACGTCCTCTCTTTTCATGTGTACTGTTTGTATAGACGACCAAATTATTAATGACAACTTCGAAGGTGGGATTTTAGGTGCAAGGCGCTAAATATTCTGGTGGTGTACATAGTTGTGAACATGACAGATATTAATGTCAAGTATCATGACAACACAGCTACTCGATCATGTCAATATCGTCGGTCGCAGCTTGAGCTTGAGTCTGCGCAGGTGCCTGTGTTTGAGCGGGGGGTGCATCTTGCTGGCCAGCAGGTTCTGCGGCCTGCGCGTTGTCACCGCCGCCGAAGTAATCCGCCATCTCTGCATCCAGCTCCTCCTGTGTCTTCTTTCCACGAGGGTTGCCTCGTCCGCCGCGTCCGCTCTCCTGATCTCTGCCTCCATCTCTGCCATCGCGTCGAGCTCCAGGGCGACGACCACCCTGACCTCGGCCCCGGCCACCCTGTCTAGGCATTGGGCTGCGACGAGGACCCTGGCCGGGAACATATCTATCAATTCCTCTGCGGGCAGCATCATCGTCATCATACCGGCGATGGGGAGAATGGGATCTTCGTTCCCCCGGGCTTGAGATTCGCTCTGCTAGTGGACGGCCGGGCATAACGGCAGTATCAAACGGGTTTCGCGAAGGTAGCAGAGTCAATCGAATGGGTTGACCTGGTTTCCGTTAGTCAGGTTGCGCAACTCGGCAAGCTGGCTTTGGCTCACCATTGGCATTCGCGCCATCAAACTGTTTGACCGCCTCCTGAGCGTCCTCCTTCAGTTCGTACGTCACGTAAGCAGTGCCCTCCGATCGCCCAGCGCGGTCATACCGTAGCTGAAGGCGAACGATAGGACCAATTCTTCGAAATAGCTCCTAGATGCATATGAGATGCTGTATAGTGATTCCAGTCATGTGAGCCACCTACATCGAGGTCTTCCTCAGTGAGATCATAGTGAATGTTATCGACTCTGAGCTTGGCGCCCTTGGACTCCCTATTGTGCACAAGGTTAGGGAGATCGCGATTGTTGATCGGTACGACTCACTGGTCTGGGGATTCGCGGCGGCGGCGAGGAGCAGGAGCTCGGCGGTTGCCTGGATAAGTGTCAAAAGGGCGTCTTGGTCAGGGAGGGGTTTCAAGTATTACTGTTCTCTTCGAATCGGTCGTGGACCCATTCGCTGTGTACAGTTAGCAAGCGAGAGGAGTAGAAGGGCATGACGTCGACTGACCTATCAAGGTTTCGTGAATCGTCGCGAGCGGACTGCAATTGGGAGGGATGCTCTGGTCAGCAAGGGGTTTTCAGAGTGGAAAGCCGTTCAATCGACAAAAGCTCCGAGCACCGAAAGGACAAGTTGCGAGGAGGGTTGTACAGGTCGAGTTGGCATCATTGGAGGGCGAGGGAAGTCAACCTGCACCGCCGACGTCAATAAAGACTCATGATGAAGGCCGAGTTGCCATTTAGGGAGAAACCAACCTTTCTAACACCATCGCGAGGGTAGTCGTTACGGGGTTCACGTCGGCGACCTTGGCCACGGTGGTTGCGAGGTCGATTGGCGCGCTGTGAAAGAAAAAGTCAGCCTGGGTTGATGCGAGACGGGAGCGCGTCCATGAACTGCGGGAGACGGTATGAGAGGATAGGAGGAAGATGAGAAAGACCTACAGTATCAGCGATGATCTCATCGAGACCGCGATCCATCTTATCAGCCATATTTGCGTATATTTGCTGTGAAACTTTGCAGAATCCGCGATGAATTCGGTAAGTTGAGGTCAAAACTGAAGAGGAGAGGCTGTGTTGCTTTACAAAGTTGGGCCAAGGTTACCTACGCACATGCGAAGGATTGGATGTCATGGGTGGGAGCCACAAATCAAGGCTTCAAGCCACATCTGGGCGTTGAATCGTGGTGGAGCCTCTATTATTAGTGCGACAATACGAGGAAGCATGCTCGACATGATAATGACATTGTTGAATTTCGGGCAATCGTATAGAACCAATTATGATTGAAGCATTTTAGGACACTCAAATACGACTAATATTCGATAATTATCAAGTATCATATTGTTGAATTAATCATAACAAGATCATTGCCGAAGGGCCTCGACCAAGCCTCTTTTTTAACTTCACTTCGCCGTAGTGGCCTAAATGCAGACGAGAAGGCCCTGGATGAAAGTAATATCGAAGACTTAGAATCTTGAATTCTTACTCATCTTCGAATGATTCCAGCCGTATGAGCAAATTAATAGGTACCTTAGTACTTAGATACGATGATACTTTCCAGAGTTCAGGTCTCTCCGTCTTGTATCTGCATGGATAGGATTCACCGATGGGGACGGGGTCTCAGCGCTAGACCTGTTCTGGGGACTCAGCCAACTGAACCCTTCAGTAGCTGTGTCTTCAGTTAATTATCCCTTTGGAGGCCAGAGAACCACTTCGTATTCCTGTCATATTACCCCTTCGCTCAGTCTCATCTGCTAAGACCGTTTCTTCTATTCCTCTCGTCTGTCTTTTTGCCTCTTCAAAGACTGTAATTGAAATTTGAACCGTCTACACGAATCTACCTACCTCCTATCACTTATTCCTGAGGTGTCCCTTACGGCGCATCTTGAACCGGCTTCAACATTTAATTTGATGCCCTCGACTTGCTCACGATAGCTGGTGCTGTCGCATACTCTCAGATACTCACTCGAAGACTTCCTCGCCTCTCAGGCGCATTAATACAACTCTCATGGCCCGACCCATGGGGGCGGTTCGTCTCAAGAAGACGAATCCCTTGACCCTCGCGCTCGGAGCGATTCTGTGCATCTTCATCATCGTCTTCCTCGTCTCTCCGTCGGGAAAATCCGTCACCGCTCGCCGATTCGAGTCCATAACAGCAGAGCATCATCTCTCGCCGCCGACCTCACCGTACCGAAAGTCAAAATCCCGATCTGGCGTACCGCTCAAGCCACCACCCGTTGTGCACTACAACCTTAACAATGTCACGATTACGACCTCGCCCATCGCGAACCGAGAAAATGTCCTCATTCTGACCCCAATGTCTCGGTTCTATCCTGGCTACTGGGACAATCTTTTGCGCTTGACTTATCCCCATGAACTTATCACCTTGGGTTTTATCCTTCCCAAGACTAAGGAGGGCAATCAAGCTACCACCGAACTCCAAGAACACATCCACAAGACGCAGAAGCATGGTCGCGAGGGCGACAAATTCAAGAGCATTATCATTCTACGTCAAGATTTTGATCCTGCTATTGTGTCGCAGGATGAAGCCGAGCGCCACAAGCTAAAAAATCAGAAGGCCCGTCGCGAGGTTATGTCAAAGGCCCGAAATTCCCTATTGTTCACAACTCTCGGCCCCGATACCTCCTGGGTCCTGTGGCTAGATGCCGACATTATTGAGACCCCTACAACCCTGATCCAGGATCTCGCCTCCTTTGATAAGCCTCTCATTGTCCCAAACTGCTTCCAGCGATATTACGACGAGGAACATAAGCAAATGGCAGAGCGGCCATACGATTTCAACAGCTGGCAAGATAGCGAGACAGCGCTGGCGCTCGCTGCCAAGATGGGTCCTGATGAAATTCTTCTCGAGGGCTACGCTGAAATGCCTACATATCGAATGCTCATGGCATACCTAGCTGTTGAAGGTGGTGACCGTAATCTGGTCATTCCCCTTGACGGAGTTGGAGGTACTGCCCTCCTAGTCAAGGCAGATGTGCATCGCGATGGTGCCATGTTCCCCCCCTTCCCCTTCTATCATCTTATTGAGACCGAGGGATTCGCCAAAATGGCTAAGCGATTAGGCTGGCAACCATATGGCCTTCCCAATTACAAGGTCAGTTATTTCTCTGTTGCAACCAATATCTGGCACTAATAACTTTCTAGGTCTATCACTATAATGAGTAACATTGCCACGCTTGCATATGGGCAACATGATCTAACTCCTTTTGCGGCCCCTGTCTTCTGATTCTTATGCCAAGAAAACAAGCAAGCTGCCCTGGGATTAGGTCAATCAATAGTTGCTTAATAGCTATTATTGGGCAATTCATGATTCAATTTGGGCGGGTACAGGTCATGGCGTTTAGTAGTGCATCCTCTGAACAATTTTTTTTCAAAACAGAGAGGGGAATGGAAGCCTCGTTGCAAAAAGCGCGATAGCTTCAGGGAAGCTATGATGCCTTGTTAAAGATAAGCATATTGTATTGGTTTACAAATTTCTGTAAGAACATTCGAGCATTCAGTACGAAAGTGGAGGAAGAATCATGGAATAGATCGGCATCTGCGTGTGTTATGCTGTTCAATACAAGTTTTGAGGTCATTCTCGAATAAGTTCTGTCACATATTGTGGATTTTATTTCTCAAAATCGAGATCGAATTGTAACGACATTTGCTAGGAATCATGCCATGCCGCTTGAACAATAAACTCATGAACATCTGTAAGCCCAATCTGACATGCAACTTAAACTAATAAACTTTCCATACGACCATAACTCCAGAATGTACCCACCGAATTCAAACATATCCCCCATGTTAACCCGATTGAAACTCCACAGCCAGTATCTCAAGGCCCCTCATACCGCCCATCAGAATCTCGACACCAGAACTCAACAAGCTTCCTCGTACCAAGCACATCGCCAGAGCGCAACAAGGCCGCAACGTCCACGTTAAGTGGACTATCGGTCTCAGGGCATCCCAACAACATGCGCACGGCTCGAACACACTCTAAGACACTATACGCAGGTGTCCATGCGTCCTTGAGCAGGTCGAGGCAGATCTCGCCAGTTTGAAGGGCAATATTCGGGTGAACAATGGGTGTGACGAACGTCATCTTTGGTGGTGCGAGGGGGTAAGTCGATGGGATGGAGATATTGATAAGCCAGCGTCCCTCTGCAAGATGTTAGTAGGTGAAGATGGCAAAGTCAAGGGATAGACTGACCATCGTAGCCGTGGCCTATATCTCGTCCATTGATGACGGCTTCCCACTCCATCAAGTCACCCTCATTGACTGGTCCAAGACGTTCGATGCCCTTCTCTTCCTTTTGCTCTGTGCTCCACGTATCCAACTCCTTTATCAGTCGTCGACTTGCGCTTCGCGACGCAGCGGCTGAGTTTGATGATGACGGTGGCATTGCTTTGGATGAATGCGATATTAGGGTTAGGTGGAGTAATGATATAGTGAGGAAGTTAATGAATGTTACGAGTTCAAAGGGTTCGGATATGACCCTTGAAGTTGAAGTTGGAGTTGGTAATGGAGATGAGGTTCCGGGCTGGTCTGGGGTCGTGACTTATTTCGTCACGTTTGAGTTGGGCTGTTGAGCTCCCCTCGGCATGCCCAGTTGGCGACTCATTACAGGGGTAAGGTCGGCCAGAGCCGAGGGATGCTCGCTAAGATACTTGTCTGACCTAGGTAAGTACTGTCTAACCCAAGGTACCAACCACCGGGAGTCTAACCCACCCCGTACGGAGTACTAGGTCCCTAATTACTCAACTGCCAGCTCAAGGGGCCAGTGGCTGTGGCAGCGTGGCTCAAGCTCCAATTCTAACGACCCCTTTCATGTGAAAAGGCTTTTACACGATGTCATCCTGGTCATATTCGACAACAAAAATCAATACATGGATGTACTCTGGAAAGACGAATAGATAGTCTACAAACACTGAATAGAGACGTGAATTTTTTGAACAGAAGGGTATTTTCTCCTATAGTCTAGTATCATAACTCTTTATTTTTTTCGTCGCCCACCATTCGCCGCAGGCTTTCGCTTGGACGTGGATGATGAGGTAGAAGTCCGAGGTGGATTTCTCCTGACTGGCTCGGGCTTGGAAGGCTCAGGGGATGACTCTTCAACGACAATCTGAGCTCCACTGCCGACATCATCACTAGATGTCGTCTCTACTGATGCTTCTCTTTCCTCATCAGACTCATCCTCGCTCTCGCTCTCTTCCTCACTTGATCCGTTCATTTGACGGGATCCCTGCCGGGATGCACGCTGAGCTCCTGAGAATTGTCTCCATGATCCAGCTGGGCTCGACGCCTGAGCGCCAGGAACCTGGAACTGGAAGGGGTCGAGGGGAGCCTGGCTCGAGTTCCTACCTCGACGAACAATCACCGAGCTATCAGAAGGCTGACGGCTATTAGAAGGGCCCCTCACTCGACTTTGAGGTCTTTGTGACGATGTCCCTGAGCGTGGTCGGCCGGCTGTCGCTGGTGGTGGGAAATAGCCCATGGAAGGGCGTGACGAACGGTCTTGATCCTCGGTAAGGTTGCTGTTAGAAGAAGATTGCCGGGCTCGCGACTGCGTGCGTGGTTGACTAGATACTGGAGGTGCTTTCTTTTTGCGCGATGACGGCTCGAGCTGGATAAGTGGCACAGCAACTCGCTGGTCCTTGCGCTTCTTGCCGCTCTTCTTCTTCTTCGCTGCCTCGTCTCTTTTACGTCGTCGCTCCAGAGCGCCCATTTCTTCTTCGTTGAGATCGACATCCGTTCTTCCCTTGGCCTTTGCGCGCTCGATTCTGTGCATTGCCGACTGGACCAGCGCTTCCTCCCGATCATGAACAGCCAGCTCGGCAAGATACTGTTCAAACTCCTCATCCTCACTGCTCTCGCTGTCATCCTCCGAGTCCTCCGAATCCTGATAATCACCCCTTCGTACCAAGCCCCTTTCACGATTACCCAAATCTATTCCCGTAAAACGAAGAGAATCGCTGGCAAAGCGGGTACCTGAAGAGGCACCAACACCTCGCGCATCCTCATCTGATTCCAATTCCTCCACACGAACGTCTCTTCCTTGACGTCCGCGAGACGCAGAGTCCCCGTCTGTTCTCCTCCGACTGTGCCTCGATGGTCTTCCCCATTGGGGCGCGAATTCGGGAGATTGCGGCCGACCACCTAGACCGCCTCCCCGGAAAAAGCCTCATCGATGGGCTTGTCCAAAAATGCAGCGTGACCGAGGATGGTCACGCCAGATGCGCCAATGAGCCAGAGCAGGGTAGTGAAAGGTGAAGCAATCAGACCCAGAGGAACGGCGACGCAAACAAGTGCAGTGTAAAGCTGCGAACAAGAAGCACGGAAAGTGCCAATCTCGAGATCATGGCCATCGAGCTTGCCAATGAACCACATGCCGACGACTACAAGGATGATGTCGAAGAGCAGTAGCCAGTTCGTGAGCAGGGCGTAGATGCTCAGCATAACAAAGATAACAGCATAGTTGCTGGAGTAGTGGCTCAGGTTGTAATTGACGCGCGACTGCATCTCAACAAAGTTGGCAGGCTTGGAGAGACGCTTGAAGTCGAGGAACTCGCCAACAGGTCGCAAGTTGGAGAAGCGGCCGCTGAGAGGACCAGATCGAAGGCCCTGGAAGCGATCGCCGAAGTTGAGGCGGGACGTGATAACGTCGAGAGGAATCTGAATGCGAGACATGATGGCTGATTCGTGCGATGAACTCTCGTAGAAAGGTTTTGGTGTTGTTGGTGTGGAAAGAGTATAGAATAGCGAATCGAGTGAATGCTTTTATGGCTTCGGAGGATAGGCAACAGAATTATCGATCAGGAAGAGTGACGAAAGTCAATTGCGTGTTCAATGTGAAAGAATGGATACTCTTGTGATGAGCTGAGTGAATCAATTAAAAGTTAGCGCAATGAAAGAAGTAATAATAGATTCGGATTCAGGCAGCAGAGAAAAGTTGAGGACAAGCTGGCAGGAAGAGATAGCACATGTTAAGGGGATGGGATACGAGGCGCAGACTAATCAAAGGAGAAGCCACAAGCTGACGAAGAGGTAGATAGATAGATAGATACCTTAGGTATCTGGGTAAAAAGGGGCAAACATACCGAGGCGCGGTTTTATCAGCAACTTCGAAAAGGCTTCAAGTCCAAGAATGAACGGAATGTTGCAAGATTGCAGTTGTACTGAAGGTAATGTTGGGAGAAGGGGGAGTTTAATTTGTTTGTTCTGGCAGTTCTGCACTGTAATATCCAGTAAACTGGTACTGCACAGATTCCCGATAAGATTGGCTGTCCCTTTTAGGGGACAACTTTTTTTTCTCCGAGACGTGATTTGCTAGAAGGGCGCGTCTCCTGTCAGCTTCGGCTTCGCTTCAGGGGTGGTCAAGTGTCTCCAACCCAGCAGGGCCAAGACTGATTGATCTCCACAGCTGGAAGGAAATCTCAAGGAGGTACGTACCTCGGAATGGAATCTGCCCCAGAGATGATGAGGTGAATGGAAGGAATTCGATATACACGAAATATTCGGTCAAGGGATGGGTCAGTAAAAATTACTGATCCTCAGCCAGTTCTCAACTGGGCTGGCAGCCCGCAGCAATGCCTCTCCCTTCGATAGAGAGAGGCTCGACGAGTATATTTGGGCTCAGTTCTTGTCGTCTTCTCCTCTCCTTCAACCCAAACAGATGAGGTTTTATTGAAGGAGGGCCATATCAATGACTGACCTAGAAGAGAAGAGGAAGGGAAGGGAAAGGGAGAGGGAAGAGGAGGGACGAAGAAAACTAAATACAAAGGCTAGCTCCGCCTTTTTCTTGCTTCACTCTCGATATACCGGACGGGTACCTAAGAGAAAGTACACAAGAACAAAAATAAACAAACAAAAGAGCCCAACCACGCGCGATACGATCAGCATTGGATCGAATTGCACACCGCAATCCTCTCTTCTTTCCTCTTCCGCTGGGCTCCGATGGGGACGTGGCCATTCCGGGAGCTTGCTTGTAACTTGTACAGCTAAAAACCGGGTTGTAACTTTTTTTCTGCTCCTCTCCAAACAACGCAAATGCAGAGCAGAGCAGAGAGGGGCCTCACGCTTATGCACGCGACACCAGTTGTAGCAAGCCAAGTGGAAGACGAAGCGTCACCGCTATTGATGTGTGCCTCAGCATCTCGCTCCCTGTTACAGACGGATGAACTAGTACCTAGACTAGATTTTGACTTAACTTGGTCTACATTGTTATGAAGTTTATTAGATTGGTGCTTTAGGCGCAGAAGAATGGAATACTTGTTAAACTGTGCTATGAGTAAAAGCTATCAACCTGTCAGAGGGACAACCTAGGCTTTACAAAATACCATATGCAATACAACTCAGCCCATATCAGACCAGGCCACTTCAGCAGAATTGGATCTCTCTCCATCGTATCGTTACACGATCCAACCATCATGATCCACGATCTATCTGTAGATCCACTCAATGTATGCCACTCCAACCTCGAAGCTCCATAGAAAACCGTTCCGAGCTGCCCAAGCAAACTACCTCCGTCCTAGCTCTCCAATGTCGATCGAAAGATTACCCACAACCTTCTAAAGCATCTCATCAAGTTTTG